AATGTCTTCAGGCAGTAAACACAGCCAGCAGCACTGTGTGCAGTTTTGCTTCCAAGAGGCTCTTGTAATCCACCCGGCCTGTACAGACTCATCCCCTGCTGCAGGCCTGGTGACCCCCAGGCACGTCTCACCCTAGCCACCTACATCCATCCATCCTACAGTCATCCACTCTCTCCCTCATTAATCTATTACCCAATATCCAATCGCACATATTGGCCTAAAGAGACAGAGGGGAATGGAGGCAAAGTGAGGAAAAAACACACATGATGCTCCTGAGACAGCAGCTGGGTTTGTGTCAAGCAGAGAAGCACAGAGGAGGCCATGCGGCTGATATGAACCACAAAGCAGTGATGGTATTTCTGAACAATTCCTCCAACCCTTAAAACAGCCACCCCGATGAGTGACTGTGGACTGGGGCAGTGTGCCGTGTACTGTACCTACGTGAGAAAAGGAGAGCTACAGTTCTGAGGAAAAATTGGCAATACTTTACAGTAGCATATCATAAACCAAGATTCACATTCTGTAAATCAAACACCAGAACCTGAGGCGGTATTGCGCATATATCAGTAAAATGCTAACTACTACAAATGTTCTGATAATGTCAGACAGGTGACGCGGTGCCTGATTAAAAACCCTCATTTACAATTTTCACAGACCATTACAGACAAGCCCTCCTGCGTAATTATTAGCCGTCGTCCTTCTGTTATGAGTACGTTACACCAATTCATAATGCCTCATTTACATGTTTTGTACCGTTTATTCCAAGCACGCCACGGCGTGCAAGCGCATCATTCATCATCCGCAGGGCTGCGTCGTCACATTGTCAGTTACCCCCAGGTGCTGTGTGGAAGCAGATCCTGCCCTTCGCCACCACTTCCAAGTTTGGCAGCAGCGTCCGAGTGGCAGGTGGGCTTCCCAGTGTGGGAATGACTCTGCTGTGGGCTGCTGAGCGCTGGAAATATCACTGAAGCCTGGGGGCACTTCTCATGCTTTCAGCCTCATTGCCCTCGTTGCCACAGGGGCGGCTCATCGGGCTGGAGCAGGGGTTCCCAATCCTGGTGCTGGGGACCCCCCCACACCTGCGGGAGGTTCCCCTAGCAGAGCTCTCTCTCTCACAGACTAAGCCCCTAATTGGCTGAATAACAGGATTCACTTGAACTGCTTGGAGGTTGTTTTTTAAGCTATTGTGTTTCATAGCTAACATAAACAGTACAACTTTTTGGCAGAAAAAGAAAACTGGCAGATGTTCCACTTAATACTGAATAAAAAACAATTCCTTGCATTTATATAGCGCTTTACTGACCACTCCACTCAAAGAGCTTTGCAGGCAATGGGAGCTCCCTTCCACCACTGCCCAAGTAGCCCCCTGGAATGAAAACCAGCAGGCCTGAGAGCCTCCAGCAGGAAAACTGGGAGCACCCAAACAAGGAGTTTCATTTTCCTGAAACCGCAAACAAGACCAGCCCTCAGAACCTTGGAAAGACTCCACCACTTGCCAGGCCTGGTGAGGCCTGCTCATCTTCCATTCACCCAGAGAGGCCTTCTAACTGGACAGGGTTAGCCAGAGGGAGCTGGAGCATACCCCGGGAAGCAACAGGCAGAAGGCAGGGTACGCCCTGGGTGGGACGCCAAACCATTGCAGGGCTCACTCCCAGTGCCAATTTACCCAGAAGCCAATTAACCTCTAGCATGTCTTTGGACTGTAGGAGGAAACCGGAGGAAACCCATGGGAACACTGGGAGAACATGCAGACTTCACACAGACAGCACCCTAGGTCTGGACCTGAACCCAGGGCCCCAGCCCTGTGACACAGCAATGCTGACCACTGCGCCACTGTGCTGATTCCCTGCTCAGCTTAATGCATCGAACTGGAGCCTCGCAGAAGGGATTCCCACTGCAGAAGAGGCTGACTCCCTTTCTAGGTTCTATGTGCTGGAGGCTACTGAACAAAACACACTAATCAAGCATGTAAATAAAGTTCATTTTCTCCCCATCACACCTGTCTGCTGACCATTACAACAAGTTGACAAGGTGAGAATGGCACCATGTGCTGGATTATTCACATACGAGATGCAAATTAAACTGTTTTGCAATGGGAGGCGGATCCATTTCCCTGCCGCGTAGCCAATTCTTGGATCTTCATTCATGCTAAAAAACACAGTGTGCAAATGATCCAATAGCATACTTGCATCAGGTTAGCAGAATGTTTTGTCATAGCTCTTAATACTGTCAGACACCTTCAAGCAGTAATTGCAGCACTCAGACAAAATCATGTTAAAAAGACACGCAGGTGCAGGATATTTCAAAACCAATTAGGATCCACAAAACACTGAACAGCCACACAATCAGAGAGAGCATCAGTAGGCTGCGGTGGTCCTCAGCTTCAAAAATCGGGCAGAAAGCTCTCGCAAAGTCCAGTTCTGTGAAGCACTTTCAGTTGTGCAAAGTTTGAAGATTTCTTTGTAAAAGGGCAAATATTATCCTGATATTATAAAGTAAAAAAATGTAAACTGCTCACAGAAACTCTTACAGTAGCATAGTAAAACGCTGATTGGACACTCTGCATCAGCACGTTGTGCAATTCAGCTTGTTTGGTTCAGTGCACTGTTTATTATAGACACAAAGAGGGGTTTGTGAGGTAAAAGATGAGCAGTCAAGTCACATGACCCAGTAGTACGTAATGAGGAACAGCACCTGAGGACGTCTGTGGAGACAGGGGGTGCAGTGAGATCCGGCTCAGCCCACCCAGCTGAGGAGCAGCATACAGCTTTTCGCAATTTACATCAGCTGGGGAGAAAGTTGCTTGGCTGTCGTCATCTCTCACAACTTCCAGTTAAGAACTGCCATTAACGTTTCCATTAGATGTGGTGTCAGAGGCATTCATGGAGTGACCCCGGGTGCTAATTCGTGAAGAGTATTTCAGATGAAAGGAAATTGAATCTCACGCTATTTCACACTTATGTCTGAAACTTTCAGAGAGAGAGAGATGAAGGGCCTGGCCTGTACAGCAGACATGTGAGTGCTTTCCTACAGAATCCCATACAGCTGCAGAACAGCGTTCAGATCCTGAATGTCATTGGAGGCTAAAGCAGATTGCTGCTGCACAGACAAGCGCATGGGCACTTCAGAAACCCATCGCCTGTTTCATGGAACAAGCTACCACGTCCCGTTGTTAATGCCTGTACCCTGGCTTCCTTCAAGAAAGCTGGATGAGGGTCTGGGACCACTTAGTTACTAACTGCCAAACAGGTGCAATGATTGGCCTCCTCTCTTCTGTAACCTTCCTTATGTTCTCTATGATGTACAGAGACATAATGTGTAGGTGCCTGACTCAGGCTTTTCCAGGAAAGAGTGAAGATGCCGGCACCAGCAGCTCACAGACAGGCTGCAGCTCCATCAGGAGCAGGCCCAGGGTACTGCTGCAGAGCTGCCATTGCCTTTCTTCAGCACAGCATGCCTCCTCAGGGATGGATAACTCATTCCACTGACGTAGGCGTCTTCTTAGCAACACAAAACTCTACAAAAATAGTTCCATGCGATTCTGCGTGGGTTTCAGCCAAAATGCTTTCTGTAGTTCTGTTTCAGAGATACGTAGTTTGTTCCTGATCCTAGCAACCAGGTAAGACAGAACACCTCCTACTTCAGCACTCACACACACACAGGAGAAAGGCCCTGCACTGTTTCAGAACACATGATGCTACAATCCTATACAGGCTCCTGCAAGCATCCCTTAACCTTCTGTAGGATCAGGAGTTCTGCAGGATCTTCTCCTGTGGATAGGTGCTGGGATCTGGAAATACTCTCAATCTCAAAGTACCACCAGGTTAGCTACCTCCTTTTGCAATAGCAACAACGTTGCTGCTGATCTAAAGGAGGAACAAACACCAGCAGTAAGCGACATCAGTGCAAACCCACAGGCACCCAGCCAGGCTCTGGGATCGCCGCTCTGCAAGGCAGCAAGTTCAACTCTTCCCTGCACTGCGAGCAGGAGTGCAGCTCTCTCCATTTCACACCTGGATGGCCCAGTTTCAATAAAGAACTATCTGGGACCAGCATCAACGGAACCGTCTCACTCTCGGGCAAGAGACTACTCTCGAGCAATACTGGTCATGATGCTACTCCACCATACCAGTCTTTCTGCTGGCTCCCTGTTGTTCCTGCACTGCCTGTGTCGGATCCAAAAGCCCAGTTAATACGCAGTGCTGCTCCTACCTGCCTCCAGTCCCCTCTCTCTCCATTACCCCTCCATTCCCCAGCTGCAGAACGCACCAGCCCTGCCCACTGCCCACTGCCCACTGCCCACTGCCCCCTGCCCACTGCCCCCTGCCCCCTGCCCTGCCCTGCCCTGCAGCTGAAGCCGATACCCTGGTTTCCTTCAGGAAACAGCCGGATGAGATTCTCAGATCAATTCACTGCAAACTAGCAGACTGGCCAGGTGTGCCGAATGGCTCCTCTCATGTCCACGCTCCTGCTCTGGACTCGCCTGTGGAGATCACCTGTGAGCGCCCGGCTCTCGGCTGGGCTGACCTTTTGAACTCTCACCCTGGCAGCGTGACCTGTCCAAGCCTGCAGGGCGCCCACAGTCCCACTCCCCCGTTCTGAATGGTTCAGTGGCTTGTGCGGCCATCCGCTCGGGCCTCGCTGTCACCGTATTCATTTACCTTACTGCACCATTATTCCTTGTACGTGCGCTTAATGCAAATTTTCTACCGCCCAACAGAACAAGGGTAGCAGCTGATCCAACAGACGAAAACAAGATGGCTTCCGTGGCGTGGTGCAGCCATCACAAAATCGGCTGCTGTCCTCGTCTGGATTTTAAAAAAATGACGTCATACAAGCGGGGTTTGTTTTTTAGGCCACAATGAGGAACGAGAGAGAAACAAACGCACCCAAGCAGGTATTTCACAGTGTTTCACGACCCGAACACGAGGCGCGTCTCCCCACAGGCCAAGGGCCCAAGATGTCTCTCACATACAGAGTTGACACATCCCACTGCGTGATCCCTTCATCCTTTCCGTTTTATTTAACAAGGAGAAAACATTTAAAATACCTACAACGGTATCCATGCATATGGGTGACGAGGCAACACGAGCTCTCGCGGCTCCCCCCCGGCCACGAGGATCATGCCTGAATGTCTTTTTCATTTTTTTCTTAAAAGTTACAATTCCTGCACAGCATTTGAAATTGTCTCTCTTTTTTTTTAAAGTTTTAGTTTTTTTTTTGTCGTTGTGATCAGAAAGAAAAAAATAACAATTGAAAAAAAGAACTCGTTTTAACATGCAACAGGCGGCGGGGCGCCCTCCTCTCCCCGGCCGACAACAGCATGCAATGATAGCGAGCGAGTCAGCGCGCCGCCGGGACTCTCTGTCCGCAAGGTCTAGGAGATGCGTGTGAGTCTCGGAAGCGCGATACAAAATCCGGTAGAACACTTCAACTAGATTTCTCCTTCGGGTTGATTTTCTGGTCCTCGTGTGACTACATCTAATGCGGAATACAGTATCTTTCTGTGTAAATTTGCATTTATATATATATTTCAATTTGTATTTTCGTCTCTATGCGTTGCCCTGGAAGCTTTTATTTAAATCTAGCATTTCAGTTATGAACCTGCCTTACTCCACTGGCTGGCTTCTTGTGTTTGTGTTTAGTTTGCATATCGTAAAAGTGACTTTCCTCGGCGGAAGCAAGTATTTCTACCTCCGAATAAACCGCTCCCTCTCCAGTTCTCACTATCGCTGTCCTCTTCCTGCCCTGAGAAGGCGTCTGCGGAGTCCTCTCGCCCGGCTCCGTCACATCCGCCATTTCTACAAGAGTCCCCGCCCCTTCCGGCTTCCTCGCGGTGCTTCTTCCCGCCGTGCGTCAGTACCTTATAGCGTTTTTTCTGTTTAATTTATCGTTTTCCCTTGTCAACCGGATTAAAAGTTTCTTCTGAATTCCTTTTGTCCCGTGATTGAGGAAGCAACATTATGTTTTTCCACCGCATGTTCGATCCTGTAGAAAAGTTGTTTTGTGTTTTGTTGTTGTTGTTGTTGTTGCTGCTGGAACACGGCTGCGTGTTCCTGCCTTCCCTCTAGAAGTTTGTCCGCCGCGGTGATTTGCTTTAAGATCCCCGTCGCCCGGACTCCCTCCCTCTGCCCCTCTCCCCGTGGAGAGAGAGTGCCAGGCAGGGGTTACAACGACGAGATCTTGACGGTTTCATGGGTGTAGGAGCTGGAGGAGCTGCCGGGCTGCTGCGAGTTGCGCAGGATGCCGGCGATGGCGGGCGAGGGCGGCAGGCTCTCATCGGGGGTGTTGGCCGGCGGCGTGGGGATGCTGATAATGGCGGCGGTGAAGTCCGAATCGTCACAGTTCAGCTTCATGTCCTGGGTCCTGGCGTTCAGACTGGAGCGGCTGGGGAGAGGGCACAGGGGGGCAAAGGTCAAGCTCAGTCAGAACAGTGAAAAGGTTAAGAAAGCCAGAGTTCATGCTTCTGCAGTCCTGGTCTGGGGAAAGTTACAGTGGACCACGGCAACAGACCTCTTGAAAGGAACAGCTTCCTCATGTAGAATTTCACATTGCTGTAAAAACAACCAACATTTCCAGCCTGAGCAACTTAAAGGTGGGCTAATTTACACAACTGGGCATTTCACTAGCACGATCATGAGCGCCCTATCAAGGGCCTCCAGCACAGGGGTCAAACCCACAACCTTCCAGTTACAAATCCTGGTGCTGGGGCTCTGATTAGGGCTGGGCTTCGGGTCAGGGTGGTGCTGAGGGGTAATGTGGGCTTTGGGTTGGGGGTGGGGTTCAGGACCTTTGAAGGGCCGTGAGTAGAAAGGCTGAGGTGTGCTGGACACATCTGTTTGTAGCAGCCAGATTAACTTGTTTTCCTTTCTTTTACTGCAAGAGAGCAACATGAGCAAGGTTCTCGCAGACTGGGAGGAAACACAAGCTGTCAGTTCGCTGGCTTTTTTAACGAGAGCTGCATCGTTAATCATGCAGGCGCTGAAAGGCAGAGAGGGAATAAGTATAGGTGCCTAACCACCAAACGTCAAGAGTGCTTTCTTGAAATGGAAAAGGAGCTAAGGCAGGAATCCAACATTTGTTGAAACAGCTCAAAATATACCTGCTGAGTTTCACTGATGGTTCTTATTGGCGTCCTTAAGGCTTGCTTTTGGCACATTGACAAGACAGCAAACTCCAGCAAACAATTTCAGCTTCAATCACCTGTCCAGCATCTTGAACAAGAAGCTGAACACGAACCGAGCTGATTCTACCTGGTCCTGCGCTGCAGAAACCCACCAAATAACACTTTTTCAAATGAGCACATTGACTACCATTCTGGGACTTTCAATTTTCTCTTTATACAGTATTTAGCACCATATAATGGGAGATTTTACATTTTGACACTGTGTACAGTTTGACTATTATGCGGACATGTATGATGTATAGCCTGACACAGAAGCATCATCTTAATGATGAATTATTAAATTCAGCTGGCTTATGTCCTTATCAGGGGTGTCTTACCATTAATAACACAAGTGTACGATATACAAAACTCAGATAACTGCAGAACTGTGTAAAGTGTAGCATTCAACGTAACTTACTAACTGTTCGAATGATTAACCGATAGCAGAGAAAACCTTGCAACAGCAAAGAAGGTGCCAGTATTGCAGTTCATCTTGGCTGAGTGTCTTTTGAAGAATTTGGTAAATAATAATGTAATGTGGTGCATAATAATAAGCCACCATTAGGGAAGAATTTGTACTTGAGGACGTCCTGGAAGAGACCCTGTGGGGTTCAGTGCCAGTGGGGACAGTGAGCTTGGGAAAAGGGTCTACAGTGACTAGCCACCTGCACACTGAGCCAGTGGATTCCACTTAACATGTAATCAAATCAGGTTGCTACTGGAGAAGTAATACGATCTGCTGAGTCTCATCTGGTATCGGCTTGGTGAGGCCCCAGGAACCTGAGGTGCTGTCTGTGTGGAGTTTGTATGTTCTTCCAGTGTTCGTGTGGGTTTTCTCCCACAGTCCAATAAATGGCATCTGGGAAAACTGGCCCACATCTGAGCATGTGCACATTTGTGTCTATCTGCCCTGCCTTGGCATCCTGTTCAGGATGTATCCTGCCTTCTGCCTGTTGCTTGCTGGGATAGGCTCCAGCAACCCTGTGCTGGATGATTCAGTTCCAAAACGAATGGTTGGATGAACCGGATCCCTACATCACCTTTTCTGTTGTGCAAGTACACACCAGCAAAGGAGGTATGCCCAGGTCAAATGAAATGGTGGCTACGGGTTTGACACTAAAGCAAAACGGAAACAGATTGGTTTTATGTGTGTGTTTGAGCAAAGTAAGTAACCTTAAGGACTATGGCGATCCTGCCATCTTAGTGTACAGAGAAAAAGCTCAAATTCCAGTTTCACATTCGGTGTGGCAAGCTGAGCTCACTGTGGCCCAAATCTGTCCCAGGATCCCCGATCCCCGATCCCTGATCCCTGCCCCCTCCTCTTTCTGCCACCAATCCAGGAATTTGATCCAGACCGAGGGTTGTGACACACTGACGTGCCACCACCGATTTATGAAATGTCCCGTTATTTCCATGGTTCACGATCGCTGTTCTCCAGCGCTCGCCCTGAAGTGTAGGACCGGATGCCTGTTCAAAAGCAGAGCAGACTGGAGGCAGCTGGGGGGGGCGAGGGATCCGAAGGGTTTCGGGAAACGCGAGCTTGGCCCTTCCAGCAGCAGCAGCAGCTGGAAAAACACTCGTCCCAACCCCTCCCTCCCGCACGCTCCCGGCCGAGCTGGAGCGGGGCTCACCTCTGCGGCACCCCGCTGGTCTTGTGTCCGTGCAGCGTGTCCAGCTCCTGCACGCTGCCCCGGCTGACTGACACCGTGGAGTTGGCCAGGCGGATGGCCCTCCTCTTGGCGCGGCGCGGGCAGCAGGAGGTGGACAGGCCCTGCTGGCTGGACAGGGAGGTGCTGCGGCTGGTCCTGTAGCCCATCGACTCCGCCATGCACACCTCGCTGTACGTGTGCTCGTCCGTGAACTCGTGATTCTGCAAGCAGAGACGCGAGCAGGCAGGTCAGAGCGGGCTGCCACCGCCTTGTGCACTCCCCCCTTCTGCTTCAGCACAGGCCTGAGATGGCCGCACAGCACCTGGCAGCCTTGAAAACCTGAAATGGATCGGACTGCTTTGCAAGAGGAACCTTCTCTGTGGCACTTGGTCACAGTGATGTTCAGGAAGCCAGCTGGACTTTGATCTGATCTGAGATCTAAGCTCAAGTTTCTTCCACAGGCTGTCCTGTCTGCCGATCGCAGCTCAAGTAGAGCACATTAGAGATTAGAGACTCGGCATGAGAAAGTCATTGTATTATTATTGTTATTCAACTTTCAAATTTCTGTTTCTAATTAAAATACAAAACACTAGTTTCCGGACTGACAACAGGCGGTGAAGCTGATTAGGTCGTCTTTGTGTCTCTTTATACTGTACGTGCACATAGGAAAATATTATGTGTGAATATAATTCGACATCTCATCTGAAGACTGGAATGTCCTAGTACCTAGTACCATTGGATTTTGTTGGAATTTCTGAGTCAATTTGAAGAGCACCACCTACTGGTCACCCCTTATGGCAGCAACCCATTATTTCTTGGAGGTCTTCTATTCTAGTTCTGACTCAGTGCATTGAAGCATGTTACACTCTGCCCCTCTGAATTCCTTCTTCTCCTGTTCTCTCTGAGCAACCTTAGAGACATCAGCCTGAGAAATCTGTGTCCCAGCACCAGGGTGATGAAAGTAGGCATTAATCCCTGGGATTCGATTCAAGCATCCTAGGCATTGGATAACCCTGTCATGGCAAAAGACCAAAAGACTGGGTCCTCTTCTGCAACAGAGTTCGGCACTGTCTTGATTTCAGAGGGGAGTCTAACTGGCTCAGTGCACGAAGCCCTGACACACATGCAAGGTTTCTGAGATCTGGTGAGATCGGGCAAGAGGACAGAAACACTACTAGCCTGTAACGACTGGACAGAATTGAGAATTAGTGACTGAACAGAAGCCGGGCAGTGTCAGTGGGAGGTACTCACAGTGGTCTTCTCCAGGCAGTGCAGCAGGTGGTGATGCTGCTGTTCAAAGGAAGATGTGTTCTTCACACACAGGGCCTGGGTACCTCTGTTCCTGTTCTGCTGAGAAACAGAGAAGCACACGGAGCAAGAGGGCGGGGTGGGTGGGTGGAAAAGAGAGGACAGAGGGTGGGGTACGGGGGGAGGAGGGATAAGAGGGCGGTGCAAGACAGGTGGGAGGGGCAATGGGAGGGG